AAATTAGTCGTGTTTAGACCATTGATTTATATAACACTAGATCAGTAATAACCGCGCCAAAGCGTTGCCACTGCGCATATGGCCACAGCCATATGCCTAGCTAACGTGAGTTCATTGTTCAATGTGACGCCGACAGAGTTGAGCCGCGACAAAAATGGGTAAATACGTAGTGAAAGAATGCTATTCAAGGTCACAAAAACGTAATAAATCAAGCGGAATCACTCAACACATAATTTTTAGTTCTTGTTTTCATATAAACGTAAAAAACATCAAATAATTAAATAAAATTATCGAATATTGCCATTTAGGTTCAATGTTGCCACTTTTCCGCATTTGTGATTATACTACATTAATGGGAGACTATAAAATTAATGGAGTAAGTGAATTTTTTACCTCTGATTACATCTGAATATTTTGGAAATTATAATAAAAACTACGTTTTAACTTTCATACAAAATAATTAATTATTCTTATTTTAGTTTATTCATGAATTATCTATTAAATATATTTTATTACTTATTTTACATTAATAATTTTATATTATTTATAATTTCATATAAATTTTATATTAATCATGTTTTATTACCTATTTTATATTGTTTGATTTATTAGTACCATAAAAATACGTTATATTTCATCATTATGTTTACTTCTATTCATCTGATAAGCTTTGTATCCTTTTTTCTAATGGGACGTAATAAAGATTTTAAAATAAAATATACTTTTTTAATATAAAAACAATTAACTACAGCTTAAATAAACTCATTTTTATTGCGTATTTTAGGTAAAATTTCATATAGTAGGCCACACTAAACCGCCATTGCATGTTTGTGTGTCTATCTTTATCTAATCTTAGCGACGATATTGTTTTCACAACTTGTGTAAGTGAGATACATATATGTTTACTTAAAATTGTTATAGTTTCAAAGCTACGTCGTCGCGTTTGGATAGTGGTTACACTTTTTTCGACGCGCGGTAATGTGGTTTGCTCCTCTAGTGTTGTGTAACTCAATGGTTTAGACCATCTAGTAACTATTTTACGTACCTACCACCTTGAAAGTCAATCAATTTATGTTCAATAAAATGACCTTACCTGTAGAATGCAGCATTACAACGCAATTTTACTCGAAAGAAAATATTCTTTTGATTTATCACACTATAATTTAGGCTTTACATGTCATGTTGTTGACGAGTACGTTTACCTGGGACAAATAGTCCGACTAGGTAAGTCCAACTTCGAGCGAGAGGTCAATCGACGGATTCAACTCGGCTGGGCAGCGTTCGGGAAATTACGACATATCTTCTCGTCAGGTATACCTCAATCTCTAAAAACTAGACTGTACAATCAGTGCGTGTTGCCAGTGCTGACTTTCGGATCTGAGACGTGGGCCTTCACTGCTGGCCGTATGAGGACGCTCAAGGTCGCTCAGCGAGCTATGGAGAGGGCTATGCTCGGAGTTTCTCTGCGTGATAGACACAGAAATGAGGATATCCGCAGTAAAACCAGAGTGACCGACATAGACCACCGGATTAGTAAGCTGAAGTGGCAATGGGCCGGCCATATAGCTCGAAGAACCGATAACCGATGGGGAAGAAAGGTTCTCGAGTGGCAGCCTCGTGCCGGTAGGCGTAGTGTAGGGCGACCCCCCACTAGATGGAGTGACGACCTGGTAAGACATGCAGGAAGTCGATGGATGCAGGTGGCTCAGGACCGTGCTTTGTGGCATTACTGAGGGAGGCCTATGTTCAGTAGTGGATTTGTGAAGGGCTGTAATGATGATGATGAAATAAAAATGCTCATGAGGTGTGCACTTTTGGATTTTCCAAACTAATTTTATATATTTCATTTTATTTGTAGGTTTCATTACTACCGCGTGTGAAGTGCACACATCATGTATTTTTCCACTGTGTTTCGTATGGCAGACTCGGATACCCTAGTTAATGGTTATCTGTTTTTTGATTCTTAATTGAGGAGTGTTAAGGGAGTATGTGTCCGTGACCACTCACCATCAGGTGTACTATGTGCTCAATCGTCACCTTTACTACATCATTACTGAAAATAGAACAGAATCGAGAGTATTTTTACGTTGAGCGCAGATGGTGATGTTTGCAATAAGTTCTACTCTTGAAGAGTTTCTCGAAATTTAGGCTTATTGTCATAATTACAACTCCTAACAATTTTCATGGATCAAAATCACGAAGGTGGTGAATTTAAAGCTATAGTTAGTGCCAAATCGATTGAGAAAAACGGACAATAAATTCAGATATGAGCCGAGTGTCAGAAGGCGTAACTTACAAAATCTCAATTTAGATGTGATAATACTATTTAAATACGGATATTATTCACACTTCTAGGTCAGCCCTTTTTTATTTCTTAAAATAAATTGTCTGTGGTTCCTATAAACATCGTAAAATCTTACTGTACATCGCGAAAAATGTGTTATACTTGAAGAAACAAAAAACAAAAAATATGTGCTGACCTAGAAGTGTGAATAATATCAGTATTTAAATATTGTTATCACATCTAAATTGAGATTTTGTAAGTTACGCCTTTTAACACTCGGCTCATATCTGAGGTCTTTGTCAGTTTTTCTCTATCGATTTGGCACTTACTATTACAGCTTTAAATTCACCACCTTCGTGATTTTGATCCATAAGATTACATAAGCCGGCTTACTCCCGACAGATTCGAATTTGGAATCAATCGAATTTGATTCGAACTCAAGGTAATTCGTACTCCGGAAACCGAAGCTAGCGCAAAATCGAAGAGGCACAAATTAAATCTCCGTGAACAACTTGTATGTGTGAGTAAGCGCACCGCATGCACATTAGAGGAAGAAATAAGATGCTGAGGATGAGTCGATAAGCATTTGCCATACAGTTTTACCAATCTGTACTAATAAAATTCTAACACTACGATTTCTGTATATTGAATATAATTAAATTTAAATTTGGGTATATGTATACTACTTATATGATCGATATAGATGCCAAATCAATTTATTCGGAATCGTCTGTGTTTGAACGCGCATCGCGAAAAACTTGTTAATAAAATATAAGTTTATGCTCTGCCAATTTTAAAAATGTATACGAAAACTAATATAGTAAAATTTACCTTACAATGTTATCCCAAATTCACTCTAATTTAAAAACTAGTGTACATAGTACCTAATTAAACTGTTTAGTGCATTCCCATAAAGTATGACATTGACAGGTACTGTCTGTACTACTAAGAAATTCAGGACTTCATAGGCGTGATTTTTAATGACAGCTGTCGCTGAGATTAAGCTATCTTTTATGAATTATAATGGAATACGGGAAGATTTTCTTTAATTTAGTCAGTCAATTTAAAAAAAAAGCGCCATCCACTGTTTATATTCTGTATTTGTTAAAACGTTACTAAATACAATTACTATGCTTACATTTGATCAGGAACTTCAGATATCCGCTGCTAGATGTCGCTCTTATAAGAACCGATAACTTATTGCATTTTAATTTTCTTTTGATGGTATAAAAATTGAGGAGTGAACTATTATTATATTGAAAATTATCTAACTCTAGGTAATTTAAATTAATTATATTTATAAATTAATTTTCGGTATGCCTGCTGATCTAATGAACACGATTGTTATTACATCTCAGATCTTAGAAATTCCAATGTCATTGATAGACATATCCAAGAGATCAGAGAAATACTTGTGATCTTTATAGTGATCACGTCACTCGGGCGCATAGGGTATCCATGAATTTACGTCGGTGTCGGACAGAAACTTTTTAAATTTTATGAAAGAAAATAAGCGTTTTTGTTTTAAATTCATTGAATTTACGTTCTATCAGTGAAACCAAACCACTGGTTTCAAGGATAACGGTGTTTAGACTAACATCCTGTATATATATATATATACATACAGGACCAGAGAAGAGAATCAGAATAATCAGTATTGCTAGCCTCCTTTAAAATGAGTACCCATTTCGTACATTAATTATATTTTGTTATGGAAGTTCCGCCAGCCTTGTTGGTAGTTTGGTACCTTTTCAACTTTTCATACCATACCATTTCATACAAATATTTTTGGTACGGAAGTAATTAAAACGCAGTGATATACTGTGACTACGTAGCTATTGTCTATGACTTTATGTTATTGTTAATCATATTCTTTTTAAATTTAAAAAAATTACGATAACGGTCAGATGTTGTTTCAGATTTGTTTACCAACATAGGCACTCACCCTCATTACAATATGCGGATTGGTCGAGCGACTGATCCGAGTCTGTCAAATTGTGTGTGAAATTGTCAGTGTATATTGTTTTGTTATGTGTGACTTTCGTAGTGACAGACGATTGTTTTTGCGTGCGCTGATTTCCCCTTATAAAAAATAACAGACAATTCTCTATCGAGAAAAAACGCTACCTACTACCCTCCGGTGCGACGGTGGCTCGTGTTGCTCCATGCCCTTTTTTTTTAAAGTATAAATTTATTTTTAAAATGTGCAAAAGTAAGGAAACATAACTAAATAGTTTGTGTACATGCTTAATATATCTGTAATACTCTAAGTACATATTTAATTGTTTTGTTTTATATGTTTCGTAGAAAAATTTAACAAATCTTTTCAGTCAGACTTAATAATGAAATAAAACACCTATGCATTTATTATCACTAATATAATATTTTATATTTTTGATTATGTTGAAACAACACATAATTCACGTCTTACAAACTTAAGAATAACGATTTTTTTATTTCTGTGGGCTAAATTTTCTGCACGAATAGTTGTATCTCATGTATTATTTACTTAATATAAGTATGTACCTTAAAGTTGATCGTAACTAATATTATGAGATTTTATTACATAATATATATATATATATATATAGCACACATAAAAAGAAAGGTTTATAACTAAGTTTGAGATAAAACTATATCGATATTGTGCATAATTATGAATAATCAAAATGCATATTACAATAGCTTAAATATTTCTAGATTAGTAAAACTTAATTTATGAATCGTCATCAAGTTCGCATCTACTTGGGGCAGCCTTATCCTTTTTGGTCGGAGATTCCTTGACTGCACCTGAAACATAGATTAGGACATAGTAAAATATGACTTTAAAAAATATGAAACAGGCACGGAACGAAAACCTTATATTTTTAACGGTTTTAATGTGGTGTAAACATACTGAATGTAAAAATTAATTTCAACTCGAATTATATATTGACAAGGGACAATACTAGCCTTAATTCATAATATGAGCTGGATTACGTACAATTATGCATCCAGTCATCCATTCATCTATCTATCTATCCCATAACAGCTTATCTGTTGAACATATGCCCACAGACTACCACACAAGATGGGTATTTGCCATAGTTGCCACGATTGGAATTGGGTTGGAAATTTCAGCGATTATTTCCTAGTTGATATCGGAAAGTATGAAGTGCAAAGTATGCGCAAATTACTCGAAGAGGGGAGGGTCAAGAGTACTCGGATACCTAGACGTGCATGTATGAAGAAGTTAATGAACCTGAAAGAAGCGAAAGAGGTATGTAAGATCGTGACACTTGGCGATCTGTTCTCTCTGGCTACCCCGTTAGGGATTGTGCGTGAAGATAAGTAAGAGTAAATAAGTGATATCGGAAAGACGCTGCTGTTTCTCTCTGTCCCCTGTCATGACACCCACGAGACGATATAGTGTAGTGAATGTTCTTAAACCGCTAATACACTGTATGCATTACTATGACTTCAAGCATTTATTACAGCCCTTCACAAGTGCACTGCAGAACATAGGCTTTCCCTAAGGAAAGCCACAAAGCACGCTCCTAAGCCACCTGCATGAATTACTAGGACGTCACTTCATTGAATAGCAAGCTTATTGAATGATTAATTTCTATATAAGTAACAAATGAATACTTCGACTAAAATATTATACGTGGTAGAGCCATGCTGCAGTTATATAGTAGTAGTAAAGCTGTAGCACGAATGGGTCGGCTCGACCGCGAAAGAACCACGCTCTCACAGAATACCAGCGTAAAATAGTAGCTTAATAATGCTGCGTTTCGTATGGTGAGTGTAGAGAACCGGAGACCCTATTAACTGGAAACGAGGCATTCCATCTTAGTCCTCACGGGTGACAACACATCTGCATTTTGATTTGTAATCGAGGATATATGTAGATGTCTATGGACCACAGCAACCACTTACCATCAGGTGGACTGTGTGCACGTTTGTCACCCTGTCCTATATAAAAAATGTAAAATCCTGCCATTATTCTTCATAGATATTTGCTTTGTTTGAAATACAGAGTTAGTAATTTTAGGACGTATTCAATTGTAGGACGGCCTTCCACCAGGTCCTACACTTCGTCTACCGGTAGTGGGGGCGGCCACTCGAAAACCTTTCTTCCCCATCGGTTATCGGTTCTACGAGCTATATGGCCGGCTCATCGGCACTTCTGCTTACTAATCCGTTGGGTTATGTCAGTTACTCTAGTTCTAATTCGGAAATTCACATTTTTCAGAGAAACCGCAAACATACCTCAAAACCTGAAAACAAGATTGTACAACCAGTGCGTGTTGTCAGTGATGACTGGATGGATCTGGGGCGTGGTCCTTCACTGCTTGCCATATGACGAAGCTCGAGACCGCACTATGACTTATAAATATTTAATTTATTCTAAACATACCTCCTTCAGTGACTAGCGAAGATTTTATTGATACGGTATCAGCTGTTGGTAATTTTATGCCTTGCTTCAGAACCATGGTACCATCCTTAAAATTAAACATAACACATTTTAATTCCAATCTCAAAATCAATTCTAGTATCTCATGGTTTAAAATATATTTTATTTTTTTAATTAATAGTTCGAGATGTATGGACATTAGAAAAAAAGTTTCTAACAAAAGTTTTAGAAAATATACTGATCTTTAAAAATAGATATATACATTTTATTGATTAATCTAATATTTCAAGAGTTATTGGCCGCGATAGAAAAACCGGTTCATTAATGGGCCATAAATCCTAAACGGTAAGTTTTACAAAAAAGTTTACTGGAAACAAAAGATGCGAAATTTTATTTTCTACAATAATGGTTTCTTTAACTTTTGCCTTAAAGTGCATAGTTTACGAGATATCGGCTAAAAACGTTTTTTCAAGATGGCGGTTGAAGCGCCACCTGGATCTGTCAGTGTTTTGTGATTTTATGCGGAGTAAGTGATCCTAACCCTTATAAAAAAATAAAATTGGATCGGAAATTTAGTGTAAAGTTAAATTCTATTTTTACTGTACTATTTCATTAAACATTTTATTTATCAACAACGTCTTACAATCGTCTTTTCTCTAGCGCTCATGTGACCTTCATACAAATAATTCGATATTTTAATTGTTCATAATTTTTATTTTTGGATAAGAATATGGTAATAATTCAAGTTATATTTCCCTTCATTAAAAAAAATTGTCTTTGCCCAAACCTAATATACTCTTTGGCTTGACAACAGGTTTGACTAATTGGTTTAATAAGCTGACATTTCAGTAATGGTTAATCGTAATACGATATACGCTTAAGATTCAATCTTAAGCATGTACAATCTGGATTAAATGGACCAAAATAGTATAATTTTTTTTGTTTCAAACAGAAAAAAATGCGTGATATTTGCCGAGTCCCCCCTCTCGCCTTAAACATCTTACGTAATTTATGGACGCCCCCTTATGTTTTGACTAATTTTGCGAGAAAAAAGTATTTCGTTGTGTTATTTTAGTGAAAATGTATAATCTTAATATATATAAATTACGTGTCACGTTGTTTGTCCGCGATGTACTCCTAAACTACCTAACCGATTGTAATCAAATTTGCACACCGTGTGCAGTTTGGTCCAACTAGAGAGACAGGATAGTTTTTTTGCCCACAATTTTTTTTGCGAATTTAAGAATTTTTATAGGACATGACAAATTGTCATCGAAAAGGGCTGAACAACGTCTGCCTGACAAGCTATAGTGATAAAAATGAGTGGCAGGAGATCTACTATTTGGACTTATTTTAGAGAAATGTACTAATGTATGATGATGAATCCAAAAACATTTTAATAACCTTTTTATTGGTTATAATTGAAAATAAATCTACAGTGCCTCAAAAATATAACGTTATAGAAGTAGATTTAACCCATAAATAAAATATACTTCCAACAGTAAAATTATGAAAGATGGCATTACTCGATACGTTCATTTCAATACAGTGGACACATTGAGTACCACTTTAACGAATGTTCGGTGATTTAGCCGAATATTCGGCCGAATACGAATATTTGGTAAAGCTGCCGAATATGCCAAATAACGAATATAAAACGAATATTCGGCCTATCTCAATTAACAATTACATACAACAATCAATAATACACTTAATATATTTGCATGTTTAATTTTCAAACAATTTAAGGAATTTAAAACTCACCTTCATTTCTAGAAGCCCTTTCTTAGCCATTTCTTCTACTTCAGCTTTGGTCATAACTATTTTCTGTACCTTAACCATTTTCTTTCCTATCTGCATTTCGCACAATTCGCCGGTAGACATTGCTAAAAAAGAAAATTATAATATTGACTCAACATTATTATTATAGGCGTTTTATAGTTCACTAGTTCATTGTCAGACAAAGGCATCTCTCAGAGATTGTCACAATTATGGGCCTCTAGCCATGTGTATGCATTGACTCTCTGAACATCGTATTGTAGATGGAGCGAGTTTCAAGTCCTCACTATATCTACACCACTTTTGCCAGTACAAGCCTACCCACTGGAAAAATCTATGTTCCATTCTGACTGTCCGTTCTTTCGAGTATACAGCCAGCAGACTTATTCTTGAAAACAATTCAGATTGATCGGGATTGAAATTATAACGTTTCGTACTCTTGAAAGCGACTCTAGCGCTAAATTTGTTATGTATTGTGTGGTGATTGTGTGAACTAATTGAGATTATAATTGAAATTGTACAAACTGATTTAAAGCAAAATCGGCACTCCTGACGCACTTTTGACAGTTAGTTGACAGCTGCGTATTGTATCTGATATTGCGTCGGAATTAGAATTTGAACGTCTTATACACGGTTCATCTTGACGTACGTCCGCTCAAGATCATGCACAACGCACGACGCAAAACGACAATGAGTAGGATTGACGTACGTCAATAATTATTATTAATTGCTTGCTGGACGCGCTGGATGCATTTTGTATCGAGCAAGCCTCCCCACCTTTTCGTGTCGTACTGATGAGTAATGTATAGTAATGGTGATTAATATAGCGTATAGCGCCATATTATAGAGCGCTATCTCTCCATAACACATAGCGCATATTATGTAAGTAGTCGCCATGGCGCTATTGCGGTATGGCACTTTGGCGCTATTAAGTATTAATATCTAACGGCAACTAGTTCTAGCAGCAGCGCTGTTGGGAGAGGACGTGTGACGCAAATTTGATCTAGTAGCACGCTATTCATCGCGCGCGACCTAATTTAATGTTAGACGTTGTTTAGTTAGTGTATACTGTTGAAGGTTGAAGCACACAGTTTTCTGCTATAAAAGAAGCCTAACTAATGTTTTAAATGTAAATAAAATATAGATACAAAAGTGAATAATATAATAGTATATGTAAATAGTTGATTTTTATAAATACAATCAATAAATTTTAAATACACCTTTATTTGATTTATAGTTTATATTAAGGTTAAAATAACGTTTACATCAATTATAATAAAAAATAATTAATTTTATTTCTTTTTAAAAAATACTTGTCTTAAAAATATTTTTAGGATTATAGAAAGTCGTAAGTCTGAAAAGTATGAAAAAACGTTCATTGGTTTTTCATTACCGCTTTATTTTATTTTAGTCTAAAATGCGACTCATTACGAAGTAATGTTCTAATATAGCACGCGGTCTATCCAATTAACGACATGTAATGTAACGTGCTACGAGATTTAGCGTGCTGCAAAACTTAACGTGCTTGTCGGCCTCCTACACGCTTTCTTATAAATAGCACGTTATAACTTAGCGTATTTAATAGCGCGCTAGAAATTTATAGTTTATAGTCTGTAGCGTGCTATTGATTTATAGTCGTTTTGAACAACTTTAATGTATAGGCCGGACGTACGTCAAAGCTGTCGTGCATCCAGCATGCTAGATCGTGTGGATACTAGCTGTACAGCAGATTTGTAATTTTATATAGTAACAATGCATGCGTTCGCTCTGTTGTCAATCAAATTAGATCTTTACGCGCATTCCCACGACATGGTAAATGAAAGAAATAAAACATTTTATTGCGTTTTATCATTAATAAAATATATCATTAATAAAAATAGCTATAATATCTCACTAAAGATTTACATTTAATTTTAAACAAAAAAAAAAACAAGGTCAATAATCAAAAGTAAAAAATCTAAATAAGATCGCGAAAATATGACACAATTTATTAACAAAATTCAATTCCAAAATTAAAAATTTTGTGCAACCGACTTCAATATAAATTATTAAGAATAACTCAAAAACTAATGGTTAGTTCTTGATCAAATTTATATGGGACCACGTGAAAAGCACCAACTTTAAAATAAAAAGAGAATCATCGAAATCAGTTCACGCAGAAAAAGTTATGAGGTAACACACATATAAAAAAACATACAGTTAAATTGAGTACTTCCTCCTTTTTCAAGACGGTAGAAACAGAACACAGGCATTACTAGATATGGTGCCCATGCTGGGAGAAGCTGCAACTACAGGTTGTCCGGTGGCAGAATTAGGATTTAAATTTCGAACTGTTTTCGAACCGTTAGCGGAGGGGCGGGCGGGGGGGTCACGTTCGATTCGTCATTCGTGCGGGTTCCTTAGTCACGATGTCGCAGTGGACGGGTGAACAACGTGCGTTCGCAATCGAAGCTTATTTTAAAGCAAACGATTCCTGTGCTATTGCTCGTCGAAGATTTTGTTCGCGGTACAATATCCGACGGTTACGTGATGCGCCAAGCGAAAATTTGATTCGATTGTGGGTGCGGAGGTTCAGAAAAACAAGTTCAGCAGCAAATAATCCGCGGCCGGGATCCAGCAGAACGTCGAGGACTGATGACAACATCGAACTTGTCGCAAACAGTTTACGCGATAACCCGCGACAGTCCGTGCGTAAGAGAGCGGCTGCTCTAGGGCTCCCAAAAACGATTGTGCACGAAATATTGAAAAAGGACCTTAAACTTCACCCCTTTAAAATTCAAATTGTGCAAGCGCTTAAGCCTAATGATTACAATTGGCGCAAAAGTTTCTGCGAAACAATGTTGCAGCGATTTCGTACAGTGAACACAATCTTTTGGAGCGATGAAGCCCATTTTCATTTAAATGGAAGTGTAAATAAACAGAACTGCCGTTATTGGTCACCTAAAGGACAGAACCCGCGATTGAAACATCAACAGCCACTTCACAGTCCCAAAGTGACGGTTTGGTGTGCATTGTCAAGCAGAGGAATAATCGGACCCTATTTTTTTGAAAATCGTCAAGGACAAGCCATTACTGTAACCGGCGTTTCTTATCGGCGAATGCTTAACGATTTTTTCCTGCCAATATTAAGAGAACATCCTGCCTACAGTTCACAGACATGGTTTCAGCAAGATGGCGCCACGCCTCACACTGCTAAGAGACCATGGCGCTTCTTCGTGATTTGTTCCCTAACAAATTGATAAGCCGTTTTGCTGACATCCCCTGGCCACCCAGGTCGCCGGATCTTACCCCCATGGACTTTTTTCTGTGGGGGTACCTCAAAAGTAAAGTTTATGAAACCGCCCCACCGACCATCTCAGCATTAAAAGAAAATATCGTTCGCGAGGTTAATGGCATCCCGACGTCCCTTCTCCAGCGAGTGGCGCGCAATACTGAAGCCAGATTCCAAGAGTGTGTCCGACGTGATGGTCAACATTTAGACGAAATAATTTTTAAGAAATAAAACCCGCACTTCCCTTCTTTGTTATAGTCATTGAAATAAAAAAAAATATTTTGCAGTTTTTTTTATTATTTAATTTTGAAATCCTAATTCTGCCACCGGACACCCGGTATATGAGCGTCATCGAGAGTTAAAAAAGGTTAAAAGCTGCTCTTCCGCAAGATCGTGCACAAACGATGTTTATTTACATGTATACATGATTTTACACGTGGTAGAACCATGCTGCAGTTATATTAGTAGTATAGTTGAAGCACGAATGGGTCGGCTTGACCGGGGAAGGACCACGCTCTCACAGAATACCAGCGTAAAATAGCAGTAAAAAAGAACATACAATTAAATTGAGTACTTCCTCCTTTTTGAAGACGGTAGAAAAAGAAAATTACAAAAAAAAATTGCGTGATAAATTATTCGCTACTAAAGTTATGTTTCATCTAGCACTCTCGGTAGAGTGTAATTTGTTTTGTGATCTAGCACCATAGATAAGATAATCTAGCGCGCTAGATGCGCGCACGATAGTGTGTATTATACTACTTCCAGCACCGCGGTCAAGGCCGCGGTGCTGGACGTACGTCAAGATGGACCTTGAATAAAGAATAAAAACAAAACAGTAACGTTTTAGGAATTGTGTTCATATTAAACGTTTGTTTTCTGCAATTATCTTATTGTTTGCGACAAAATAATGACACGTTTAGCTCTTGTTTGTTTAGTCTTTTATTTTACGCCGTAATCGTGCATTATAATTAAAATAAACACAAAATGAGCTTCAAATTATGCATTTTAAGGACTTAGTTTTTTTATATGATTGATGATGATTTTAGGGCTAATTATTGTATTATAGAGAACTTTAGTGACAAAACATCCGTAGAGAATATATTTTATGAATGAAGTATTGTTAACAAAAAGTTACAGCTTTTATGTGTCCCACGGCTGGGCAGAGGTCTCTTCTCATGTCTGAGATGTTTATTGGCGGGTTTCACTCGTAAAGGAGATCGAGATCGAATCTTTTTGATTCGATTGCAACCTGTACACGAGAGATCGAATCCAAGGTGACAAGACCCGATTCAAGGTGACAAGACAAAACAAATTCTACTTTTTTTTTTGCGTATTTTTACATACATATAATCGATCGAATCGTACAATCAATCACACAACGACGTAATAAACAAAATGTCTTCTGTCTCCTTCGTTTACACACAATTCAACCAATAATAAAATCGTAGTATGTGTTATTACTACTATAGCACCCGTTCAGCATTCTTCATTCGGTCATACAAAGTATACAAACGAGCTGCGACCCAAATGATCGAAACGATCGAATCTTTTTAACCCGATCACCATACGAGTGGGTCGTAATCGACCCGGGTTACGAGAAATGATCGATCGACACAGGTCTACAGACTTCCATTTGGTACGATCCTGACACGTTTTTTGTCCCCTCCGCATCCATATATCTACGCATACATGCTCGTCGATGAAGGGTACTCTTAATTTGGCCCATTTTCAGTATATCGCCAATTTGGTCGATAAATCTTTCACCTAGGGCATCTCTTTCCGACTCTGGCGTTCACTTCTGCAACATATATTTGCTTTGTCACTCGTTTCTCATTTATTCTTTCTATATGACCAAACCACCGAAGCATTCCTTTCTTACTCCTGGTCAAAACATCATCTTGCAAACTACACTATTATCACACTGTCATTCAGATTCAGCTCTAACATACTCCTTAACGACTGCATTTTTAGTGCGTTTATTCTACTCACTACCATACTAATACAGCACTGTGATTTTTTGACACATTCTGACTTTCCACAATGAAGTGTAGAGCACCATTTACTTTATTTCCTGCGTTCTTCGTCGTTTTTTAATAAGGATTTGTTAATAAAATTCAGGTACAAATTTAACAACTAATTTAATACAAAAATATTTTATCTGTACTTTAAATTGCAATTAACAATGGACACAGGAGATATTTACTAACTACATAGTTCATTGAACGACATTGCATTTTCTCATTTAACCAGCACTGAAGATGCACATGTGAGTTTCGTGAGTCACTGTTGGCATTTGGCAACAACCCTTGGTTGCATAATTTTTATAAGTTTCGAGGTATACAGGATAAAAATCTATTGATAAGACTTTTTGTTTGAAGTTAGAGCCTGGCATCTTTTCCTGGGTAAACATACTCGTGAACAGCTTTGAGTACAGTGTTCCCTACAAATAACAGTACAAGTGTGATCAACCCAGTAGGAATGATCTTATCGGAGTTAACTTTTTTACTTAGGCTTTTTATTTCATTGCTGGATACCCCATTATAAGGAGGATTTTCTTTTATAGCCAAGACAGACGTTTATCGCTGCTCAGTATTACCGGTCCGTATATTTAACGTGTGTCAAATGATTTAGCATTTTCGCTAAAAGTTAAATAATACATATCCTCTAGACCGATTTACAGTCACGGCGGTCAGTCTCACCGGAGATTCCCACAGCCTGTGGTTGTGTTGCAGACTTCTATCAATACTGCGTGTATTGAATGTAGGAGGGTATTGATATAAAAATATTCTCTAATAGTAAAAAGTTTATAAAGGGAGCCGGGGTGGAACCCATGTACCACATACATACATACATAAACACTCACGCCTGTCACCCGGAGGGGTAGGCAGAGACTACAGACTACCATTTGGCACGATCCTGACACATCTCTCTCGCCTCCTTCAAATCCATACACCTACGCATACATGTACCATACGCCAAATACTTAACAAGTATCTGAAATGTATGCAAATAATTTATATAATTGTCAAACGAAATCAAACATTTCGAAATAGATACATTTTAACTAGGCACTCCTATATAAAACACAAAAACGTTTCTACATATGTCCGTTGAGACTGAAACTATCCAACTGATTTTGATCGAATTATTTGTGTGTGTTTGAAAGTCCCTAGATGCTTTATATTAACATTTAGACCCGGTAGGTGGCGAAGTTGTCGAGATCGAGAAATCACCCGTGCCAAGCCGGGACGGATTGCTAGTTAGGTATAAAATGTAAAAATGCGTTGCACTTAATATAGATAAAACATGGCTTACGTCTAGCAGATGCGGGTAGAGGTAATGGTTTCACACCCGGTGGTAACGCTTTTATTGGCACCTGAAAAGACAAATATTGTTTTTATTGTTTCAATTTCCATACAAGGGTGATAAACAGGAACATAGTCATAATGGAGTGGAATAGATGCTGTGATCAAACTCTTGTATCCTTTAAACTGAATAAGTGCTCTTGAGAGCGCAGCTGCTTGGCCAGAAATAAGTAGGAGCGCGTTACCTACCCAAATGGACACCTAATTCCTACTTTTAATTTTATTCAATCACTCTTTCATTAGTTTGTCAATAGTACAATGATTGTGTGTGTGTGTGTTGTGGGCTTGTGTAGCAGGTAAAACAGCACTACGACGAAAATAGTATATTAGGGATGGCTCCTGTTATCTATAATCATTTGCCTAACAATATTAAAGAAAATGAAATAGAAGTCTAAAAAAAACTTAAATCTTTATTAGTTGAAAATGTTTACCAATCAATGCAAGAATTTATTCATGATATTTTTTTTAAATATTTTTCTTTCTTTTATTTACAAACTTGTCCTTTCTTTTTCTTTTGACATAATATACTAAAATTATAAAATTATGATTTGATGATTGACCTCGAAATTGGTAATATGTAGTTTGACAATTAATCGGAAAATTTATTTCCATTTAAATATTTGTACGCCAACTAATGGTAGACTATATAGGACACAATAAGCAATTGTTAACATCTTTTAATGTATTACTTAAATGTAGTAATGTATTGTAGTTCTTGTGATCAACATCAACATTATTATTATTTGAAGGCAGGCAACTGCACTTTTTTGTTATCTTATTAAGAAGTTATGAGGGAGACGTTGCTGCGACCAGTGGTAATGAATTCTCTTAAGTAGCCACTACATGGCAATTGAAAAAAAAAATAGTTATAAGATTGGTCCAAGTTATACTAGATTCAGTTAAGCATGTTACTTAGTCGTGCAGTACTTTAATAGGCCACTATTCTAATCAAGCAAATCTAATACCATCATTACCATACAGGAGTCGCCACAATAGTCTATGATATGAAATACTGTGTTTATAGAAAAATGGGGGTAGTCCTAAGGACCGCATTATTGCAGCAGTTACAAACAAGTAGACAAAATGCAACTAGGATTACAGAAATACGTAAAAAACTGTTAAATAAATGTGTTAAATACTTGCAACTGATATACCTTTTTCAAGGTTTGTCCAGAAGGTGCGACTAGCAATCCACCTGCAGTTTGTGCTTGTTCCGGATTTGCTTTTGTACCCTCCTGCAAATGGAATGTATAGTTTGTGATACAAATCTTGGCGGTATATTGAACATGCGCCATATAAAAGTACCTCTAACCGACGATCATGTATACGTAGGATGTAAAAGAGGCGAGAGGTATTTCAGGATCGTGCAAAATGGAAGCCCGTAGTCACTGCCTACCCGTCTGTGTAACAGGCGTAAATTTATATTATTTATTTAATTTTTAGAAAACTTACAGACGAATTTTCCATGCAGTTGCTGCCTTTGTTGTTTACATCCGTTTTTTCATACGTAGATAATTCCTTAGTTTTACTTGATTCGTCCAATTCTGTTGCATTTGACTGATTATTTACTTCAGTTGTTTCATTGGTGGCGTCCTTCTTTATTTTTGAAGGTCTGAAATATCATACATCGTACACTAAATTAAAATGTTAAATTAAATGCTAAAATTGAAATAAAATGTTAACTCAGTTAAAAAATCGAGGTATTTTAGAATATATTTCATTTAAAATTAAAAATATTTTAAAACAAAAGTGCGGCAGTGCTCCATGTATTTTTATGTTGTGTGATATATATTTTTGTATTAGCGACTCGCCTCTCTCACTCCTCTAGTGGGGTCATTTTTTAATATAATCTCAACAATAACCATTTATTTTAACAATTTTTCCATTTCGCATAAAAATTGTACTAGTTTTTCGGATCAAATTTGTAATGCATTGCTCTGTCTGTTCGTTATTTTGTGAGCACAACTGGTTCAGCTACTCCGAAGATTTGCCCGAACAGATAAAATTTTTACAAATGATGATTCATCATTATTATCACCATCATTACAGTCCTACACAAGTCCGCTGCTGAACATAGATCTCCCCCAAGGAATACCACTAAGCACGGTCCTGAGCTACCTGCATCCATCGACTTCCTGCATACCTTTCCAGGTCGTCACTCCATCTAGTGGGGGTACGAGGCTAACACTCGAGAACCTTTTTTCCCCATCGGTTATCGGTTCTTCGAGCTATATAGCAGGCCCATTGTCACTTCAGTTTACTAATTCAATGGGCTATGTCGGTTACTATAGTTCTACTGCAGATAACCTTATTCCTAAGTCTATCACGCAGATAAAACTCCGAGCATAGCCCTCGCCATAGCTCTCTGAGCGACTTTGAGCTTCCTCATACGGCCAGCAGTGAAGGAGCACATCTGAGATCCCCAGGTCATCACTGGCAACACGCACACAATCGAGTTTTGAGATTTTGAGGTATGCCTGACGAGAAGATGTGTCGCAATCTCGCGAACGCTGCTCAGCCGAGTTGAATCCGTCGATTGACCTCTCGGTCGAAGTTGGACTTACCTAGTTGGACTACTTGTCCCAAGTAAACATATTCGTCAACAACTTCGAGCTTAGTGCTCCCAACAACCACTGGAATAGGTACATGGATGGATTACACATGATTTTTGTTTTGCCCATGTTCATCTTAAGATCTATCCGTTGGGAGACACTATTGAGTTCATTGAGCATAGTGCTTTGGTCCTCCAGCTATTCTGCCATAAGGACTATATCGTCGGCAAATCGAAGGTGAGTGATGTACTCGCCATTGACGTTAATACCGTATCCTTTCCAGTGCAGTAGCTTGAAAACGTCTTCCAATGCAGCGGTGAAGTTTCGGGGATATTACGTCACCCTGTCTTACACTTCTCTACAGTTGGATATGTTTCGTATTCTGGTTCCGTACTCGGATAGCCATCGTAGCCCTACTGTACAAACACTTCAGCACTTCGATATACCGACAGTCAACTTAGCACCGCTGAAGGGACTGCAGCACCGCCCAAATTACGACGGAGAATCAAAGGCTTTCTCATAGTCCACATACGCAAGAAAAAGTGATAGATTGTACTTTTCGGACTACTGTGCAATTTGCCGCAGGGTATATATGTAGTCTATGGTACTGAAGTCTTTTCGGAAACTGGCTTGTTCGGGAGGCTGTAAGTCGTCAAGTTTGCGTGTGGGACGATTCGTAATGACTCTCGAAAACAGCACGTAGACGCGGCTCAGAAGGGAAATCGGTCTGTAGCAGTAGTAGTAGTAGTAGTGTAGTTCTTCAAGAGAGCGTTGTCACCTTTCTTGAAGAACAAGACCACCGCACTTCTGCTCCACGCCTCCGGATTAGCGCCACCATGGAGGACGGAAATGAAGAGCTTCTGAAGGATTTTAAGTATCGATTTTCCACCCGCTTTTAAACGCTCCGCTGTAATTCCATCCCCGCCCGGGGACTTGCCGTTTTCAAGGTGCTGGAGAGCCATTCGAATCTCGCTCAGACTGACGTCCGGGATATCATCGGAATAGTGTCAGATAAGACTTGCTCTTGCATCGTTACTTACACTTTCGTGTGGCTCTAACGATGACGTGTACAACTGCCCATAAAACCTCTCAATCTCACTCAGATTCTCAGGTATCCCGGAAACGATGCTGTCACATTCCACTTCACAGTCCACTTTCTGTGGGGCCGCTTTTGGAAGAAAGAGTTCATCATAAAGAGGGACTCTTTATGATGAACTCTTTCTTCTTTTTCCATAAAGTCGGCCAGTTGCTGGCCCCTAGAGTTTCGTTGCCCTTTTCCGAATTCCCCTACTTTCAGCTCACCATTCTCTCTTGTGCCTAGTTTTGAGTTGAAGTCTCCCATTAACACCGTATAGTGGGTTGTGGGTTTTGGAGCAATATATGGCTCTAGAGATATCCTCATACATTTCTTCTACATCCTCACTTCCTCTACTTCCTCTCTCTGTGCCGAGGTTGGTGCGTAAACCTGTATGACCTTCAGCGAATACCGTTTGGTGATTCTGAGTATAAGGTACATAACCCTTATCGACACACTCCCAATCTTTACAAGATTGTTAACGAGAGACTTGTGGACGATAAAACCGACACTTCCTTGGGACACATAATATGCTTTTTTTTTCAACTAAGTGGATTCTGTGGTCTATAGACATCTAAATTTATCCTCAATTAGGAATCCAAATAAAGATGTGTTCTCACCATGCAGACTAAGGGGGAATGCCTCATTTCCAATAAAACGAGTTTCCGGTTTTCTATATTCAACATACGAAACACAGTAGTATTAAGCTGCTGTTTCGTGCTGGTATTCTGTGAGATCGTGATCCTTCTACACTTATAAATATACTACAAATAACTTACATATACTTTATAACTGTTAAATAGTATACGCATAATTAAACAATAGAAACAAAAACTTTTTTATATAATATAATCTTATTGAATTTGTTTATTACAAATAATACTTAGTGGTAATTTAAAAAAAATAGTGACTACACATTACATTTACATATATATACATTTGTTTAATTACCACTGGTTTGGAAAAAATCTCTGTCCTGGAAGAAAAGGCAAGAAACCAAGCAGGACTTTAAAAAAAATACAGCTTATAATCATGTATGTTACACAATTAATCAACACAAAACAAATTAGAAATAGCATGGTAGCAATCACCTCATTCCCAGGTGTAATTATTAGCCATACATTCCTCAATATTATAATAGCCCCCTTTATACAAACTTAGTTTAATAAAGTTTTTGAACTTTTCGTATATTATAATACGTAACACATGTATTTTGCAAATTGTAAAAAAAAGTACTAGCTTAAAATGATTTTTGTGTACTCACACTTCTTTTGGCGGTTCTTTCCGTGGTCGGCCACGTTTTCTTGGCGGAGTGGGCGCCACTTCAGGCGTTTGTGCTACTTTGGACTGTGCTGTAGCTGTGAGTGTCGTTTGTATCATTTTAGGCTGCACCTTCACAGCACTTTTACGCCCTTTTGGTCTCTAACAAGAAAAAAAAACATAGTAAAAAAGTAATATTTTATGTTCATGAATATTTTATTTTCAGATAGACAAAGCAAAATAATTAAATTTACACCACCAAAGATCAATAATCCTCGTGTAGAAAAAGTACTCTTTATGATGAAATTTTTCTTTCAAAAGCGGTTCCAAAAAAACCGGACCTGGTCGAGTCCCGACGGTTCGACAAAAAATGAATTCGACTTCATTAGGACGCGATGACCAGACAACCACTGTTCAGTGATGTCTCCGTGATCGCAAGGTTGAAAACTGGCAGCGATCACCGATTGGTGAGAGGCACACTGAACCTAAACCTGAAGTTGGAGAGGTCACGTCTAATGAAGTTAACGCTCCAACCCCTTGTGCCAAAGCCCCGAAAACTTTCAGCTCGAGTTGCAAAATCTTTTTCAGTTCCTAGAAGACTGCAATGAAGTGGACAATACGAATGACAAGCTTGTGGAAACTGTCCATGCGGTCGGAGCCAAGTTCTGTAAGACCCGTTGCAGAATACAAAAATCTCTGATCACATTCGTAATCTCACGGCTTTTAGACGCAAGATAAGGATGCAGTCTTTGCAGAATTGCAGCTTACATGCAACTGTACAGACAGATCTCCAGATACATGCGGCGGGACTTACGGAACATACAATACATTTAATATAGCTCTAGGTCTCCAAAGTCTTTGCCAGAGATCTGTATAATTAGCATTTTCTTTGTCATAGTTTTTGATGAGACTATTCTAGCAGCAATCTTTCATCTACTAATATCATAAAACATAAAAATATATCAATATTTCTCAAATAAATGTGTAATAATTATTAGAAATAAGAATTTGGGACTTAGGGGGCATAACTTGAGAAGAACTTCAAGTTAGTATTGTATAAAAATACAAATAATAAATATTATTTAGCTTGGTTATAATTTCATAAGAGTTCCGTTTATCATAACTACAAATTCCAGGAATAAGCAATTCAAATTCTATATTACTCGTATAGCTGGAATTTGCCTTAATTTACATTTGCGATAGGGATTTTCTTATCTCACCTCTAGTGGCTTGTCAGCTCTGTACTCTTCGTCATCAGTGTCATCTGAGTCATCTTCGTCGGGATGAGATCTGAAGTTTAAACATATTTTTTATTCAACTGTCACAAAGAGATCTTAATCAAATGATTAGCAGGTACCTTTTTTACTAATTAATTATATTTTTACAATTTGAAAAGACAATTGTTGGGTAAAACATATTAGCGATTTATTTTTTCATTGATAGTGATAATGGTATGCTATTTTTGAAAGGTTTCGATATTTTTATATTATGACGTAGGATTTATTGTAATGCATACGGCATATTTTTACATTTTATGAAAATCAGTGTCATCTTTAAAAATTAGCAAATTGAAGAGGATATTTGAGGTAAGGAAATTTGAATAATAGATTTTTAACAGTATATTGCTGTCGCCGTGGGTCCTAACGAGCAAGTTAGCTAATCGTGAGAGACAACTGCTACTAGAACTGATTATTTTAAAAAAAATCATCATCATCCTGCATCCCTGGTTCCTTCTTCAAAACTAGATAGATGTCATTTTTTTTCAGAAACAATAAAAGAAGGATTGTGACTAACTCTGAGCTTTTCTTTTATTTTTATGTTTGTTTAGTTTATTTTCCGGATGTCTAGCAACCGAGGTAGAACTATGCAATTATAGTACCGTCAAAAGGAACCTAGTTTTTAAAATAATCCTTTCAGAAAGAATGGGTCAATGTGTGAAAGAGTATGAATGTGTAAGCCCAAGACTGCTATGGATACGAATGAAAGTGGGCTTAAAGAAACTGTTCCTGCTAGGGGTGTACGCCCCAGACATGTCTAAGCCCACTTACATCCGAGAGCAGTTTTGGGACATGGTAAGGATGGTGTTGACAAAATGTAAGGAAAATGAAAATATTATTATGTTAGGAGACTTTAATGGAAGGGTTGGGGTGAAGAGGTCTGGTTATGAAAGGATATTGGAAAGGTTTGGTGATGAAAGTATAAATGAGAATGGTGAAGACCTCCTCACCGTATGTGCGGAAAAAGAATCTTTTTGTGACGAATACTTTTTTTCGTCATAAGAAGATTCACATGTATACATGGGAAAGAGGTGATGATAGAAGCATGCTAGATTTCGTAATTGTGGATGAAAGAATGAGGAGCGCAGTCGTAGATACAAGGGTTTACCGGGGGTCCAACGTAGGGACGGATCATTACTTAGTCTTATGTCGAATTAATGGTCTTTTCAAGCGTTGGCGGCATCGGACATCTGTATCTACCACTGCGTTACAGCGTATAAGAATAGAGAAGTTACAAGATGAAGATGTGATAGAGAAGTATAAATGTAGACTGAGAGAAAATATTAGATGTTTGAATGAGTTGTGTATGAACGATTTAGACTTGAATACTGTGTGGGATAATATTAAGAAAGGTTTGGTGGATACCGCCACCGAAGTATGCGGTGTAAGTAAGAGAACAAATGAAAGGAAAAGTAATACGTTATGGTGGGATGATGAGGTACGGGTGGAAGTTGAATCAAAGAAGAAAGCATGGTTAGATTTACTAGCAACCAAAGCTGATAATTCTTCTGGTATGAATGATGAGATTGAAAGAAAAAAGGCAGAATTTAGACGTCTAAATAAGAGAGTAAAAGAAGTTGTTGAAAGGAAAAAGAAAGAAAGAACGGATAAGAATGATAGAAGGATATCTGATAATTTCCAGGCTAACATAAAAATGTTCTGGAAACTCGTAAGAACTGCCAGGGGAAATACAAAACAGCCTATAATAAATGCTATAAGAGACGAGAATGGATGTATTCTGAATGATGAAGTTTCGAATTTAAACAGATGGAAGGAATACTTTGAAAGCGTGTTTATGAGTGAAGAGTCGTATGAATTAAATGAACTAGAAATTCCGAAAGAAGTGGAAAGGGGTATGGAGATAAGTGTAGATGAAATAATGAAAGCAATGAAAAGCATGAAAGCAGGTAAGGCAGCTGGATATGATAGAGTATCACTCGAGATGCTAAGGGCTGGAGAGGGAGTGGTGGCAGGCCTGCTGTACACCTTGTTTAATTTATGTTGGGAATTAAAACGGGTACCGGATGACTGGTGTAAAGCAGTTATAGTACCAATATATAAAGGAAAAGGGTCACAGCAGGACTGCAAAAACTACCGCGGTATCAGCTTGCTTAGTATTGTGGGTAAACTGTATGCTAAGGTGTTAATTGAAAGAGTTATGAAAGAAACTGATGGAAAAATTTGGGATGTGCAAGCGGGTTTTAGAAAGGGAATGGGGTGTACAGATCAAGTCTTTTCCATGCGCATGATTGCGGAGAAGTTTTTGGCCAAAAACCAGAAAGTTTTTTGTGCGTTCATGGACTTGGAAAAGGCTTATGACAGAGTGGACAGGAATGTGTTATGGCAAACACTGAACTCATATGGGTTGAGCGCTGGTTTGATACAGGCATTAAGGTCTCTTTATAGGGACTCTAGTGCTTGTGTCAGGATCAATGGGGTCTACTCGGACTGGTTTGGCATCCAAAAAGGTGTCAGACAGGGCTGTGTGGCTTCCCCTTGGCTGTTCAACCTATTTATGGACCGGTGTTTGCAAACTTTGAAAGATGAATAATGTGGGTTAAGAATGGGCGAGTTAACCGTCAAATGCCTTTTGTATGCCGATGATCAAGTCATACTTGCGTCATCGGCGGCAGAGTTGCAAATGATGGTTACATTAATGAACTGGGAATTAAAAGAAAGGGGAATGAAAGTGAACGCAAGTAAGACGAAAGTGATGGTTTTTGAAAGAGAAGAAAGCAAAACGGTATCTGAAATAAGAATAGAAGTAGAGTTGATTGAGCAAGTGGATGAGTTTGTGTATTTGGGATGTGTATTTAGCAGGGATGGTAGATATGATAGGGATATAGAACGACGAGTAAATGCAGGGAATAGAGTGAATGGGGCACTACACTCTATTATGAAGAACCAGAATGTGTCAAAACAGGCACGTATGGTAATTCATAATGCTGTGTTAGTCCCTACTTTAATGTATGGCAGTGAAAGCTGGGTGTGGCAGAAGAAGCACGAAAGTAAAATAAATGCTGTAGAAATGCGGTCTTTAAGGAATATGCTAGGGTGTAATCTGAATGACAGGGTGAGAAATTGCGTGATAAGAGATAAATGTGGTATGCAAGTTGATGTTGTGACCAGGATTAAGAAAGGAATGCTTCGGTGGTTTGGTCACGTAGAAAGAATGAATGAGGAAAGAGTGACAAAGCAAATTTATATGGCAGATGTGAATGGCCGAGTCGGGAAGGGACGCCCTAGGAAAAAGTTTATCGACCAAATTGGCGATATTTTGAAAATGGGCCACGTTAGAAGTACCCTTAACCGACGAGCATGTATGCGTAGATATATGGATGTAAAGGAGGCGAAAGAGATATGTCAGGATCGTGCCAAATGGAAGTCCGTAGTCTCTGCCTACCCCTCTGGGTGACAGGCGTGAGTGTTTATATATATATATATATATATATATATATATATATATATATATATATATATATAATATATATATATATATATATATATATATATATATAATTATATATTTTTAAAATAATTGAATTAATTTATGAAAAAGAAACATAGAAATATAAAAATCTTAAAAAAAATAGTTCAAATTTATAAAATCCAGGTTTTAGGACAAGGAAATGTCCGCCGCGGTGTCTCAATACGTGTTGGCGAACTTCCCATGTTTTTGAAATAGTATATTCTTTCTTATAGATTCTTAAAATCGCAATTAACAATTTTGCCGGCGGGGAGAACTAATAGGTCGGGCAAGATCCAAAGAACAATCATCCAACATTCTCTATAAAATAATGTAATAAATACCTGTCGCGGATCATTTTCGCGTAATCTTTGATTTTGGATGGTCGCGTTGAACGACGTATCCCTTCATCTGTTTGACTTTTATCGGCATTTCCATTTTTAATAACACTCTGAAATATAAAATTAAGGTAGCGTTAGGATAATGTTTAACCATCGCCAAACATGCCTCTTTTGATTGGGGGCGTTTCATTGTGTAATTTTGCAATTATATATGCGTCAAATTAATTTTAATTATAATGTGATATCTTAGGGATGAATTAGATTTCTGGGGTGAATTCTGATAAATGATAAAGTACTGGAAACTTGTATAGTTAATATATCTATACATACAAATAAAATTTAAGTATCTATCTGATATCTGTATAATATCGAAACAAATACTTTTTAGAGCATTCTTAAAATCTTTGTCTATCTGTCTGTGTCTGTACGAGTTAATCTTCGAAATGGTGAACCGATTTTAACGAAACTTGAACAGCTAGAGAGCAACGCCAGTACTGATATAGGCTTATATTATTTTACATGACAACTTTAGATTTTTGTGAAAAAATGTGAAATTGTTAAAATAGTTCTATATATTATTTTACTTTACTTATATAATGTGACGGAGATTGAATATTGATTCAAAGTATCGATTCTAAATATGTCTTTTCATTTCATTACAACAACAACAGCGGTTTGTTATCCGTTAGACTCTTATGTTGACTCTTGTTCTAGTGCGCATATCTTCATTACGAAGTCTATCCACAGACATAGTCCACTCCATAGAGCGACCTTACGCTTCCCCATATTGCCAGGAAATAAGGACCATGTCTCAGGTCTATGTCAGCTGGTGCAGGACCATGTTTTGCAGCATCCCTGGGGGAGGCCTATGATCAGAAGTGGACTTGCGATGTATTCAAACAATATAAAGGAAGAAAACATTTTACTTGGGCACAGACCACTGACGTACACAACAATATACTAATTTTTAAAATTAATTTTGGCTATATAACATCGAAAGCATGCCGAAAAACGTCATTTATTCAACTTCAACAGAGAACAAGTTCCCTCCGCGTATTTATTAGTAAAATTAAAAGGTGCCTAACATCTTTTATTTAGGTTTCAGTTTCAGTACTGACTCCGGTATCATGAAGTTGGTGTTGACTAATATAACCACAAAATACTAATAGTTCCTTATGAGTTTATGTTTGAAGATCTCTTTGAAGATTAACAAATTAAAATTAAATTTTAAAGTCACCTTTGGTGTGACTGTTGTGTCCTTTTCTTTGATTTCTTTCTCTTCTTTGGTGTTGGCGTTAACAACTTTTATCTCCTTGATTTCTTTCGGTTCTTTATTTTCTTTGGTTACCACGCGGCGCTCTAGTACTTTTTTCTCGATCACGGGCGTTTTCGTGGTTATTATAGTTTTCTTTTCTTCAATAGGTCTGTCGAATAAGAATAAGAGAGGTTATTCTAACAGTATTTTCTACATGGTAGACCCACGGTGCAGCTATATTATGGTTGTAGCACGAATGGTTCGGCTCAACCCGGGAAGGACCACGATCTCAGAGAATGCTGCTCTGTTTCGAATGGTGAATGTAGAGAACAGGATACCCTTTTTACTGGCAACAACGTATTCCATTTTAGTTCTCAGGGCTGGCAACGCATTTGCATTTCGATTCTAAATCGAGGATAGATATAGATGTTTATGGGCCACAGCATCCACTTACATCAGGTGGACTGTGTTCGTTTATCACACTTATTCTATAAAAAAGCAAAATTACTATTTCTACGAGTCACCCTGCAGTCTTACAGACCGTAGAACATACAGGATGTTTGGTGGAGGGTTTGCTCCCTCCTTTCTGCCAAGGAGGGTCGCGTCCGTATACGGCTTAGAGATCTCTAGTTAGACCGTTAAGCCAGTCCCTAAAAGGTGGGGTTTAGTGGGTAAAAGTCTCCACATAACCACGCAGCCGGCTGCGTGGTATGCTACGAGCGTTCCCCACCTCCCTCCCCCGCTTTCCGGAGGGTTGCCCATATTTGATTCGGGTGCAAAAAAAAAGTGGAGGGTTAGACAAACTTGGTGGGCATGTAGGTGGACCTATTTGTAAAATACAAATTGACGTAGAAGACCCTAATTGTTCACATTTTTTGTAAATTATTTTTTTTTTGTAATTTTCTAATATTTTCCGAAATTTTACCTCTACCCTTACAATTTTTTTGGTACATGTTTTCAATTGAACTTTTTATTTGGTTTTGGTCCCAGATGTATCCTTGATCTATCTAAGGCATTGTTAATTCCAAATAATGAGTAAATAATTATGTGTATTATGGGCTCTCAAAGTTAAGAAAATAAAAAAAATTTAGTCAAAAAGGTCAACTTAGCATCGTTTTAAAAAAACTTATGGTGATCGAGGAGTTCAAATGCTTTTAAAAACTTCTCTAATCATCGCTTAATACATCGGTGTATTACATGTACGAGGGCGGCACTGAAAATTTCGGGAATCAAGGAAGTGACACTACATTACTATTTAAAAATGTATTTATTGCTTTTCGAAGTATTCTCCGCGAAATTTGACACATTTTTCCATACGATGGAACCAATCATTGAAGCAACCATTCCATTCGGAAGTTGGGGTCTCCGAAATGGGCGTTTTGTAGGCGTCCACAGCTTCTTCAGGTGATGAAAATCTCTGTCAGCAATTTATTCTTAATTTTAGGGAAAGTATAGAAATCATTAGGGCTTAGGTCGGGGCTGTACGGCGGATGGTCTAATAATTCTATGTTTTCTTGCTCTAAAAACTCTTTTGTTCTGTGTGCGGTGTGAGAACTCGCATTGTCGTGATGGAGGATGATGCGGCGGTTGCAGTTCTCTTTACAGAGTTCAGAAACGACCTGTGGCAAACAAATGCTAGCATACCATTCTGCATTAACCGTTCTTTGTCCCTCAAGGGGAATAGTCGTAACATGGCCGGTTTTGGAGACAAACGTGGCCACCATTTTTTTTGCAACACTCCGTGAACGAACAATTTTTGTTGGCTTTAACTCATTTTCGAACACCCAAACTCGTGACTGGTTTTTTATTTCGGGTTCGTACGCGTATATCCAGGATTCGTCACCTGATACGATGTTGTATACAGCATTTGAGGATCCTGCGTGGAATCTTTCGAGAGTTCTGACGCACCAAGTAACGCGAGCCGCTTTTTGCTCTTCACAGAGCGAATGCGGTATCCATCGGAAATACAACTTTTCTACACCTAATTGTTCATGCAAATTATTTGTATTTGACTCATGCCAATGTCTAAAGTTGCCTGAATTTCGCGGTATGTCACATGTCGATCTTCCTCTATCAGCTTACGCACAGCATCAACGTTTTCTTGGGTGACTGCAGTTTTTGGACGACCCGGGATCATCACTCTTGACACGTCCACGTTGAAATTCAGCAAACCAGCGATAAATTGTGGTTTTGGATGGGGCTTCACCACCAAATGCAGAAATTATCCGGTCAACACACCTTTTTTGTGTTAAATCACTTCGAAAGTCATAATAAATCATCGCTCTTGAATTTTCTCGAGTCAATTCCATTTTCTCAACGACTAAACAAGTTTGACAAAACCTTGTGACAAGACCGAGAATCTTTTTTTAAATAAATAAATGGTATTCGATTTTTAAAACCAAGGAATTTTCAATTAAAAAGATTTTAATATGACAGGAACAGTGGAAATATTCATTTCCCGATACTTTTAGTGCAGCCTTGGTAATAGAAAGGTCTATCAACTTGTCAAAAATAAACACATAAGGGGAAATTGGAGTGAAAACGCTAAAAATAAAACATTGTAAATATCACTTCCCTATTTCCAATAACGGTAGATACGCTAAATTAGTAAAAATTACCTTCAATAAATTATGATTTCTCATCATAAAAAAGGCATCCGAGTGACCTCTTCGAAGAAAAAAACAGAAAATCGATAATTGTAATTGGTGCGAGGCAAACATTCCAAGAGCAGGTAAAAAGCTTTTGTTTCGCTTAGTACATTGTACCGCATTGTTCCGTCTCTTTCTGTCATGGGATATCAGACTAAAGTTGTTCAAAACGACTATAAATCAATAGCGCGCTATAGACTATAAACTTCTAGCGAGCTATTATATACACTATGTTATAGCGCGCTATTTATAAGAAAGCGTGTGGGAGTCCGGCAAGCGCGTAAAGTTTTGCAGCAGGCTAGATCTCGTAGCACGTTACATTACATGTCGTTCGTTGGATAGACCGCGTGCTATATAACATAATTTCGTAAAAGTTGCATTTTAGACTAAAATAAAATAAAGCGGTAAAGAAAAATGAGAACACTCTTTCGTACTTTTCAGGCTTACGACTTTCTATAATCGATGTAAATATTACTTTAACATTATAAATGTAAAGTATAAACCAATAAAGGAGTATTTAAAACATTATTGATTTCAATTCAAATCAATTATTTACACACTATTAACTACAACACAATAAACGTTGAGTTTTGGCTGTAACATATATAGTCTGTTTTTCGCCAAATTCTTTGAGCATTGAGAATTTGGCATTTTAAAACGAAGCGCCGCGCCGTAGTGAAAGGTTCATTGTTACTTAATTTATTATTTGTATTCATATTTTATTACAACAACTATAACAATAAAATACATTTATTTAACACAATAAAAATAATAAAATAACAGCAAAATAATAAGTGCGCCCCCGGGTGTACAGACACTATGTTAGTGAACAGGTTATAGACGATGTAAGGGAATTCACTACCCCACATCATGCCGTGGATGTCGCAGGGGGTGGCAGTGGGAAACTAAAGCAGGAGATGGACAGCAGATCTTATTGATAACAACTAAAAAAAATGAATCTGCGGTTGCCAATACGACTGCAAATGCGTTAAATACAGCGAATATGATTAAAATGATACATAAAAATAAGAGATAAACCCCTAGACGTTGTTTAGTTAGCGTATACCGTATATTTATAAGTGATCGAAGGACACAGTTGTCTGCTATAAAAGAAGCCTAACTAATGTTTTTAAATATGAATAAAACAAAAGTTATATCAATAAACTTTTAAATACAAGTTTACTTGATTTATAATTTATATTAAAGTTAAAATAACGTTTAAATCAATTATAATAAAAAATAATTAATTTTATTTCGTTTTAAAAAGTACATGCCTTAAATATATTTTTAGGATTATAGAAAGTCGTAAGCCTGAAAAGTATGAAAAAGCGTTCAGTCTTTTTTACCGCTTTATTTTATTTTAGTCAAAAATGCGACTTATTACGAAATAATGTCCTTATATAGCACGCGATCTATCCAACGAACAACGTGTAATGTAACGTGCTACGGCATATAGGGTGCTGCCTGCCGGCCTACTACACGCTGTCTTATAAATAGCGCGCTATAACATAGCGTATTTAATAGCGCGCTAGAAATTACAGTTTATAGTCTGTAGGGTGCTATTGATTCATAGTCGTTTTCAACAACTTTAATTAATACTTAATAACGCCAAAGCGCCTCAGCGCCGTAGCGACTACTTACATAGCACGCACTATGGAGAGATAGCGCGCTATAGTATTAATATGGCGCTATGCGCTGTACTAACCACTATTAGTCTTTTACTTCAATTTATATTTTACAAATAGGTCCACCTACACGCCCACCAAGTTTGTCTGACCCTCCACCAAACACTGTATGTGCGTAAGTATATGCACATAAATTTTTGTGTCAGGGATCGCTCCATGAAAGTCTGTAGTATCGCCTACCCTGGGGGTGACGGGTGTGGGTGACGGTGCTTATGTATTTATATTTAAAAATTAGTTTAATTTACTTTGCTTTAGGAGTTGATGTATGCACTTGCGGGCGTTTATTTCTCATCGGTTCCATTGCTTTAAGTTCAAATCTTGTATTATTCGTCTGGAAAATGAATAAATAACATTATTATGAAGTAATATTTAAATAATAAAATTAGTAAATTTAAGAATAACTATCTTACCCGTTTCAGTTCCTGCAATTCCTTTTCTAACAATTGTAATGATTTATTGCTGGCGCCAACACTGTTGTTGCTTTCGGGTTTGACGCTTATTTTTTCTTTTTTCTCTGTAAATATGTTTAAGGTTTGAATGATATATTAGGTTTCGTTTATGTAAGCAAATAGAACAGCATATTATATATATTTGCCATATAATATATTATGTGATTTTCTTATTTTGTAGTACTTATACATAAAATGTAAATATTATATTGTTAATTTTTTACAATTTAATAAAGAAATATTATTTTTACCTATATCTTCATTCACTTTTTGAATTGATTTGCGTTTTACTTCCTCAGCTTTCCTTAAGATACTGGCTGTCTGCAAAATGATGAAAATTTTTTTGTGTTTTAACTTTAACAAGGTTATTTTAGATTTTCATTAAAAAACAATTGTTAATGAAGAACATATTCACCTTTGCGTCAAACCTTATATATTTACAAAGGTATATAAATAATAAATATTTTAATAAGGTACACATTGATAAAAATAATAAATGTAGAATTTATAAAAAGTAATTGTTGCATCAATTGTAAAATAATTTAGAAGGTGCTCTTAAGTTTCCAACAATACGCTGAATGTAATATTATGTAAAACATTATTAAAGGCAAAATAATAGCAAAAGAATGAAAGAAATTATTCATGCCTAGTGAGATAACTCGTTCAGTGACATATGTCTAGTAGTAGACTAAATTATTTGACGATCATGATGAAAAAAAAGCTAATAGATTAAAACGTTACAGAAAAATCTAATTACTAGCTGGAAGGACTGCGTTTTTGCCTAGAACATATGGCTCGGTACCGCCGTCTCATTTATTGCTGCCGCCAAACAAAGCAGTGCGTGCATTGCAGTGCTACGGTCTGAAGAGTAGAGGGAGCCATTGTAATTACAGGCTGAAAGGCATTCCACCTTAGAGCTCAGAGGTGACAACGCATCTGTAGCTCTTCTTTGTGTAAGTTAATAGCTGCCGCTAAGACAAGTAAATTCTACAAATAATATAAATAAAAAATAACATAAGTAAATTTGTTTTTCAATTAGTTTTGTGAAAAAAAAAAATTAAGCCGAGTAGTAGTAGTAGTAGCTCAGGCGCTAAACGCTCGTTGTAAATTTCACAGTACGCGAGCAACCCGGGTTCAATCCCCGCTGGCACCAATGAAATTGTTAATTGTAACTTTAAGTGCTGATTTACCACGTCCTCGGTAGTGAAGGGACACATCGTGAGGGAACAAGCATGTTTGAGAAATAAGAAAAAAAAAACAATATTTCGAAGACATGTGAAGTTAGCCAACAGGGCAGCGCGGCGGAGATTTCATTGCCCTAAAGCTCTCTAAATGAGAGGACGCTTGTGCCCAGCAGTGGGATGTATAAAGACTGTTTTTACTTATAGTCAACCAAATCGAAGAAATACCTTTTGACGTTTCACATTAATTATTCCGCAATAACTTTGCACAAGCGTACTCACACAATTTAAAATAACCTTTTACGTAAATCCGAAGAATTATGAAATTATCTATATTTCATTATAACGTGTATAGTTTTCATTATTAATTTAAATTCGAATCTTTTAAACAAAGCAAAATATTAAAATAATAACCAGTATCAACTTTGATATGTCGCTATGTACCTTACTGTAGTGTTTGGTTTATTTGTTTTTTTTTTATTTGATTAAAATTCATTGTTATCCGAATAATCGGCAAACATATTCAAATCAATCGGTAAAAATATTCAAATAATCGAATCACTATTTTTTTAAACCCTAACCCCTTAACCGACGAGCATGTATGCGTAGGTATATGGATGTGGAAGAGGCGAGAGAGGTATGTCAGGATCGTGCTAAATGGGAAAGTCTGTAGTCTCTGCCTACCCCCTCTGGGTGACAGGGTGACAGTTTATGAGATGACCATTTTTTTAAATGTATTACTTGTTTAATTAAATTTTTATATTTGTAACTCCTTTAATTACATAAATCATGAATAAAACAAGTTACTTTTTTTATTTGATTACGTAAATTTGTGAAGCCAAAAAAAACTCATATACAAGGTTGCGCTGATAAAACCACTACGTAATTTTAATCTCTTGCCATTTCGAGAGCTTACTATGCGTAATTTTGTGATTTTGTGTTTGTATTTTTATTTTGTGACTCGGCTTTAACTTTTTGGACTGTTCCTTCTATATTCGTTGAAGCATGTGCTCATATCATTACGGATGATTGAGCAAAGGTGGTAGAAAAACAAAAAAATTGATTATGAATGACTGAAAGAAACATTAATTTTGACTGCATTATTAAAAATCAAATAATAATTAATCTAAACAACGACAGCTCAACTAGTTGTACTGAAAGTGATTGAATAAATTTATTTTTAATCTAGTTTCAATCTTAAATTTTTATAATTATGCATCTAGAAATAAGCAACAAATACGAAGAAATTGATAAATCTTGTGTTTTAAATTATCCCTTTTTAATTTATTTTGGTATTATTCAAACCAAATTGTAAATGATTTACCAACTCTAAATAATCTATATCGATTTTTTTAAGAATCGAATATTGTAAGTTACCATTTTTTGGTTGGCATGCCTGGTGCAAAAAGTCTGACAGCTGTCAAATTGTATTTCTTAGATTTGGTTGACTATAAAGTTCAGTCCAATAATGTTGTAATATATAATAATAATAAGGGAACTTAATGGATATTAGGTTGTTATAAAGTTTCAAAATGTTCGTATACTTGTGTGTCACTAGCGGCCTGATCATTTTTATCCACAGCAGCAGCAGGCTTGATACTAGTGACCGTAGCCATTGTGACATTTGTTTGTGGGCTTTCTGTTGATGTTTTGGTTGGTAAATCCTTTTTGATTATCGCTAATGTGTCGACTGTCGACAATTCTGTGTAAGTCGTCTCTGTTTCACTGTCTGCAATGTCAATAAACAATATATTTTAAACAATCAATAATATTAACAAATAACCCTTAAATATGTTACGAAAATAAAAACCAGATCTAAACGAACCACCGAGTAACTTACCTTCAGAGTTTGTGATATCGCATTTTTCTTCAGATTCCTCTTGAGTATTGTGTAACTGGAAAAATTAAAATATAAATATATACATAAACTGTGTAGCAAGGAAACCGTTATTACATTAACTGACTTAAAGATTTCGTACCATGTAATCATCCGCTTTTTTAATTTCTATAACCATGTGATCCCCTTCATCTTTAACTGCAAACAAATTTTCATTTTTAATAACTCATTCATAAAGAGTTAAGTTCAAATAAAAATATACAAATAGTATATGCATAAATAAAGTAAGTTTCTAAATATATAAAATCAATCGCTGTCCGTTAGTCTCACTAAGACTAAAAAATGGTTCGGCGATTTTGATGATTTTTTTGGTTTTGGATTTGGTTTCACAATTGAACTTGACCACAGCTTCGCGTAGTGCCCGGTGTAGTAGGTGGCGCTGTTGTGATTCAGAAATCACCCGTGCGAAGCCGGGCCGGATTTCTTAATATTTTAATTATAGTTTGTTTTATATTGTGTGTTATGAATATTAATTGTAAATATTGTAAAATAAAATATTAGTAAATAAACTTTAACAATATAAAAGTAAAAAAAAATATTTAAATAAGGCATAAAAAAGCTAAAAGCAAAATAAAATTTTATTTTAATTTCAAGAAATAAAAACGTAACAATAATAAAACATATATTAATACGAAATTTGCAAGTAATATAACAGGGATTGGACTAGAAATTTTGTGTGTATGAATGCAAAAGCCTAAAATGTTGATTCTTAGCTAGCCTTCCTTCCTAGTCTTCTAGCCTAACCTTCTGTAGTCAAAATGATTTTAAAAGTTGTGTGCATAACGGTTATATCTGATTATGGCAATGTGGTATAATATCCATTGTCGCCCCTTACGACACCTTAAGGACAGAATGTGGCGATGGATTCTCTACTGGCTACGATAAAAATAAACATATTCTGTGCCATACTGAAATAACTGTTACCGATATAAGCAATTTTGTTGTTACTGGTCGACGGCATGTAGATATGTAAGATATGTTACAGTCAAAGCTCATAACCGGTCAAAACCACCTTTGAGTGCGGAAATCAGATCAAAATGGTTTGACCGATATCTTTATTCAAAAACAGTTTTGACTGACTTGACTTTTTGTAGCCAAAAGTGGTTTTTACCAATTTTCTCAGTTATGTGATTTGACCAACGTTCCAGTTCAATTCTTTCAATATATTATGGTTAACGATTATATCATTATAATATACGCGGCTTTAGGGTGGCAGAAGGTCCATCCCAGCCGCACCTTAACCTACTGTCACTAATAATCCAGGATTTATGTAATGTTTTATAGGCACAAATAGTCTTATAATTCGAATAAATATGAGTAGGTACATAAAAATATACCAGTAAAAAGTAGTTTTGACCAACGTCCTTAGTCAAAACTACTTTTGCCAGATTTTTGCAGTTAAAAGTGGTTTTGAACGGTTATGAGTTTTGGCTGTAACACATATAATCTGTTCGTTTAGATACGGTCACCTTTGTGTTGCGCCGCCTTGACACGTGCCGATCTTGTCAAAGGCGACGCCACGACATCAAAGGCATACACGCGCAGGAGAATTTGACATTTTTTTTAATTTTAAAATGAAGTGCCGTAGTGAAAGGTTCATTGATACTTAATTCGTTTATTATTTATATTCGTATTTTATTACAATAACTATAATAATAAAATAGTATTCTATTTTATTCTTAGAATAAAAAAACATTTATTTAATAAACATAATAAAAAAAGCAAAATAATAAGTGCGCCTCCGGGTGTACAGACACTGTATTAGTGAACAGGTTATAGACGATGTAAGCGAATCCACTACCCCATATGCCGTGGATGTCGCAGGGGTGGCAGAGGGAAATTAAAACAGGAGATGGACAGCAGATCTTCTGATAACAACTAAAAATAATGAAAATCTAAGGTTGCCAATCCAACTGCAAATGCGTTAAATATAGCGAATATGATAAAAATGATACATAAACATACGAGATAACCCCCATAGGAGGACCACGTTCAGTAGTGGACTTGATGAGCTGTAATAAATGAGTGAAGTTTTTTTGTCATTATTTGTTACCGTAATTATGTACAAAACTTTTGCAGCGTTATTATTAATTGTAATAATACTGACGTGATACGACTGTGTAATACCCACCATTTATGCTATTATCGTCATCGTCTTCTGCGTCCATTTCCATGGAAGATTCATCCGGTCCCATATCCTAAAACAAGTAATTTTTTTTATTTTGCTCAAATAATTAACTTTTCAATTTGTCGACAAAATTATATTAAAGATGTGAAAATTAATTCCTTAAAATCCGCGTGAGAAATTAAATAATGTGTCTTAGATTTGGAAAATACTTCCCCTCCCTCCCTTCCACGATTGCGTGTACTATCATTGCCACCACAAAACCTAACCCTTTAAGTATAAGTCCCGTAAGTTAATTTTTACATCTTTAACTCAATGGTTTTTTATCCTTTGAATATAATGTTTAGTACGTAACGCCGTTAATGGTTTTAATGATAAAACATCATATAATGTTCTTTTCATTTTTGGTATCGTTCAAATTATTTCCGCACGTCTCGGGTTGACGAGGAGAATGCTAAAAGGCTATGAATCTGACCTTTGTAATCCTTTTCATTAATGTGACGATGTGGTTTCCAAAACTAAGCAATATGTATGTTGTTCATACTCGACGCCGCATTATGTACGCTAGGATAAAAGTTCCATTTAATTTAAAGTTTTTTTTAATTAATAAAAATATTAGTTTTTTTTTTTACGGTTGAATATTACAAATCATACGTCGTCGGTCCCTGTAGCGATATGTTGCACATCTAGGTTAGCCAAGATGACATGTGACGAACGTTAACGTTTTAGAAAACTATAAAAATGAATAATAAACTTTAAGTCTTAATGTTCAGATACGTCATTTTGATAAACTTTTATAGTTTTCTATATCGTTAAAGTCGTCTTCGATGTCGCCGACGAGCTATCTCAACCTTTACATATACAAAATAAAACTTACATTGTTAAATTCGTCTTCGTGCGCCTGTATAATATGAATTTCCAATTTTTCCTTTGTAGTGAAAACTAGCTCGCAGAAATCGCACGTGAATTCTACCCCTGAAATGAATATGTAGAATGAGTAAAATTGAAATAGTACAAGATTAAAATTACATTACGGTTATGTATTGGTATGGCGTAAATAGACAATCAAAACGTTTTCTTTCTTTAGATGAAATAATATGGGACATAAGCATAATTCTTCAAAACAAAAATGTGATTACACATAAGATAAGCTACGACAGCTATGGCAAATTGAAAACCATTCATCAATCAAACAAGTTTTTGGGATTTTTTGTCACAAATTTATTAAATTTAAATTTTACTAAGTTTTTAACCAATATAAAGAACAATATCTATTTGATATATAGTTTGCATCTATGATTATACTTTAGTAAGCAATAAATTATAGAATAATATTATATATACAACATTGTGTTAATAATACCATTGGCATGAGATTTAATATGAGCAGTAACAGCATCAAGATTCTCAAACTTCTCCTGGCAAAGAGGACAGGTGAGGTTCTGAGTGGCGTGTATCGCAGAGTGGTAAATTAATTCGTCCTGAGTAGAGAAGGTGTCCTCGCACTGCTTACAACGGTACTGCTCTCCTTGGCCGAAGGGTCCGCGAGCGGTACGGATGTTCTCACGATGTTTCACACGGATATGTCTGCAAATCAATGAATTTATTTTTATTTTTACTAAGCTGATTACGTAACAATCTTGAATAATATTGTTGTACATAAATTACAGTTTTAACGGTAAACAGGAGAAATTTGTTTCAGATCTTAAAGTCCAGCAAATTTTTATATAATTCTAAAATAACAACGTCAAATGAAAACAATTATTTTCTACTTAAGAAATATTAATTTTCGTTTGTCATTCCGTTTTCTCCATTTTCTAAAAAACTCATGATAATATTGTTATCACAGATGAATGGAATAGATCCATAAGTTATAGAACACCAGCCTCCAAAAGTAGCACCTGATCACAAGTATGACTCCTAGACTATTTCGAAAGAAAATGGTCCGTATATGTACATATAATATCTCCCGTCTCCGTATATGTATAACTTATCAAATATACACATAATTGGAGCGGTAGTAGTTCAATGGTTAAGCTATTGCCCTAAATTTAATAGTACGCGAGCAACGAGTGTTCGATCCCTGCCGGCATCATTAAAATTGTTAATCAATATTTTATGTGCCAAATTATATATTTTTGTCTACATAAATAAAAAAATCAAGGTCGTGTAAAGTATAAAAACATGTATTGGAGTAGCGCATCGGACTCTTTCCTGTTCAAAAAACCCTTTCAAAAATTAAAAGCTTTTTATTTTACTTTGTTTTTTCGCTCTTACTTTTTTTACGGTCATTTATAAATGAAAGCCTATTTGAAAGGTAAATTAAGTTTGTACAGTTCTGGCATATACCCAACTAAAATATCACAAATGATATGAAAAAAGCAGAAGTATAGAGAAATATGTAAAATTAAAAAAAAAATTAAAATAAAAGTGACTGCTTCATGATCGCTTTTCTATTTCAATAAGTTACATTATACCTTGCATATGTTCATACATTTAGAAATTGCGTAGCTTCAGTCACGTTTTCCAACTTTTTACGAGGGTACAAATGTGACATCCTAGGCTTTAAAGCAATGTAGAGTTCGTTATTTAAAATTTACTTACATGCATGCTCTTTACTCTCAAATAAGTATTAAGTAAATTAACTGAAATTGGGTGTTTGCTTTTACTTTCAGCAGAGGTAGTAATTTCACGTTTAAAATACTTAGTCATTTTTACTGTCAAGTTTTTATAATTAATTTTTGCCGTGATTTCCCACACGTTTTATTACATTATGTTATGAATAGTTGTGTATCATTGCAACAGGTATAAGAATGGAACCCGCAAAATTATCCGCGTAGTCTCAAATGATGATGAAAAAGTATTTTTGCATAGAAAATTCAATTTCGTTTGATGTATTCTTGGCAACCTTAAATAATCCACGGACATGAGCCTTTTCCGAAGTTAGAAACAATGTGCCATTATCGCACGGCAGGTGGGTTCGCGACTACCAGTGTAATTGGAGAGTGCTAATTCTATGTGGCGGCGCTGACGTCGCTGATCTCATCATCGAGGTTTCGAAGTACTTCAGTATATATAGAATACCTCAGTAGAGTTTGGCCGCTCCCCGGGCTGCGCGAGATATCCTCATCGAAATCAAACGTCAAATCGAAGCCAACTCAATTCCCACCAGAGTTGCACAATCGCACTGTAGTTATATCGCTATGGTGGTACCGTGGCGTGATATTTAACTATCTCATTTCTTCACTATTCTTAATGTTTTTTTTTTGATATGATATATATTTCCTCTCGCTTTCTCGCAGTCTGTGGGTGTGATTTCGTGTAAAGGGACGAAAGTGTGTAACAGTTTCCTGTTAGTGTGTCCGGGGAATCGCGTGCTATTTGTTTTGACCAATGAGCGCGCGCGGTGGCAGTAAAGTGTGCTGTTATATAAACTAATTTATATGTGTAAAATCTATATTAATAAATGTATTTACTGGTGATCATAGAATACTATAATACACAATAGAATGGCTGTCAACCTTATTTTTACCGAGGTTCTGCGTCGCCGGGAGCACACATACAAGCTATTACGTCGTATTATCAGTTAATCACTACTACAAACCCGATTCGCTGTGTCGACCGGATTTTAATACATATAGCGTGCAATTTGGCATTTTCTAAATAATTTGCATCCGAAATTTGGAAACGATTGTAACGTCAAAACACATCTCGTGTTGACATTTATACGTGTGAATTGACGTCTTGTGGCATTTTAGTGGCTACACGGGCTCCGCCCACACCCCTGTTCTATTATGTACGTATTATACAACACGTACGAATTAACTTGAGACTCCGCTGGAATGCGACCCCCTTCCCGACTTGCCGTGCGCGCTCAGTACCGATAGCATTTTTGTTACGGATACGCGTCTCGACTCTAGTTCGATATTTTTGATAATTGTTTGTTGTTTGGTTTGGACTTTTGTTTGTTTTTGTTATACTTGAACGTCATTACTTCTATTCCTTGACTTTACATTATTACTGACTTGACTTTACATATTAGTTTGTGCTGTTCCTTGCTTTTTAGCAATAAGGTCGCCTGTTATGCTTTGTATTTTTATTGTGTACGAATCTGTAACACTTTTTATAGTGCAATAAAGTGTATAATAAATAAATTTATAATATTATAAATGAGAAAGTGTGTATGTTTATTTCTTTGTCCTTCCTTGACGCGTTAACTAAAAATAATATTATATATATTATAAAAAATAAATATTTAAAATATATAAAAATGGCAACAGTATATCACTTATTACTTCACCCCTTGCCAGAACATTTTATTTTGTTTTTATTAATAATCTCATGCAAATCTCAAAATTTTCAAATAAAAAAATATTACGACGCATTATTTTGCACACCGTACATTGACAATTACGTCATCGGCCCAGGTCTCTAGTTAATTCGTACGAGTTATAGTATTCTACGACTGGTGATAATAAGTGTCTGAAAAAAGTGCAGATCATTGATAAAAAATGCAAGTGAGTCAAGATGAATAATTATTCGAATTAATAACAGTATTTAGCTTTTATAAATTTGAGGTTAATTTCTGTCACTGCTCAATTGACATTTTTAATTTTGATTAAAAAAGACAAAAAGCTTTTTTCAGGATATAATGTTAATGTTGCTTATTACCAAAGAGATATGTTAGCTGTTACACAACATTTGCGACTACTGTAAGACTCGCTCATTTTTTTCTTAAGTGTATATTTTCATTTGATCGCACTCGTAAATTAATTTAATGAATTAAATTTAATCCATAATCTAATTCATCAATACCTTGTGTAATGGTGAGACTTCGTGAAGCTCTTGTCACAATGTTTGCAGGGATAAGGTCTTTCGCCTGCATGCGAACGAACGTGTCGTGCCAGTTTAGTAAGCGATGTAAATTCTGTAGGAAAGATAAAATATTAAACAACGCCATTTTTTGTTGTTGTTTGTTATTTACTTTTTACGTTTTAACTAGCGCATGTTCATAGCTCATATTTTTTTTAACATAATGAATAAATGACAAATTTTCCTCTAAGACTCACGCTGAGGACAGTATTCGCAGGAAAAATCCGGATTGCTGCAGCGCACAAATGTCTTATGCCTTTCAAGAGCTGCCTTATCACTATACCTGGAGAAAAAAATCAAATAACTTATATGACAACAATATTAGTTTAAATATTAAAATTAAAGTAAAACCTTCTGCCATTTCTAACATAATTAAATTAAAGATAGATTCATCGAATTTTTTAATGAATGAAATTTTAATGAAAAAGCTTACTTATTGTATTTGAAATCTGTATGTAGTGACTCATCATGAGATTGTTAAAGCTATACACCCCATTGACTTGTAATTTAGTATAGTAATTAATTTTACGATGTATCCTCATCAAAAAAAATTTAGTTATTTTACATCTAGGTTCTCTGCTTTGGACACATTTCAAATGATGGATAAGTAGCGCAATCAATTTATAGTTTGATGGTTACAATCATAACTAAAATTTAATTATTTTTTGTCTTTTATCGATTGAAATATTCAATCGAATTCTAATCAAAATCTTAACATGAACACGGTGGCTTATATCATAAAATCATATTAAAACGGTCATTAGCAGTACAAATATTGTTAACGCTGCTACTGTGGCATATTAAATTGAAAATATTTTAGAGGCTGCAAATTGTCTTTTTTATATGAAATTAAAGTGATAAAGCAACTTACAGTGCACAAAGGTAAGTGGTTATTGCAGTCCGTGGATACCTGTCAACTTCAAAGAAAGTAGGCTGCAGATGTGTCGTCTTTAAGAACTGAGATGTATTTTTTGGAAACATTGACCGCCTATCTGTTTGTGGTCAACCACATATCACGTAAAATAGGACCAATTCTGATGAAACTTTTAAAAGTTCATTGAATGCCACGTGGAGTATCTATTTGTTATTGCAAAAGATCATGTAATGTTTTTTTTTGTAAGAGTAACAATCACAATGTGAATCGGCTCACTAGATTAAATTTATACATTTATGTTATTAAAAATAAACTTAAATATATTTATATAGTACAAGAAAGAAATCTTATTATAATTGATAAAATCAGGCGTTACTTTGCGGAAATCCATTATAATAAAGATATTAATAGTTATTTTGCAACTATTAATATCTTTATTAGAAATCTTGTTTACTATTAAGAATGTATCCCAGTCTAAATACATCCCAGAACTGGACAGTTTTTTCTCTTCATTTCTGAGTGTTTTAGAGTAAGAAATAGTCCTCTGCCCTCTCACAAACTCAAAATATTGTTGGCGAATACCTTTTTCGCGTGATTGTGAAATTAGCAGTTAAGCCGGCGCGAGTCAAAGGCAACCGGGGCACACAATCAAAAAACATGCTAATTTGATGTTGTTAAAAGTTTACTTACAAGCATTTAGTACCATGAAGAATCCTACTTAGCTGCATTACATAGTAACTATACAAATTCAATATGTAATAGACAAGCCCATTTCATTACATAATACTTTACATTCGAAATTTAACAAGTCTTTACTGAAAAACCATTCCAGTAGTAAATACCCACTCAATATAGATAGCGCTACCTGTATTTTAAATATTTCATCGAAAACCTCTCCGGTATACATAAATTAGTGAAACGAATGTAACCACGTCTGAAGTATGTAATAGTTGATTCTCCTTTTGTTGTTACATTATTGCAAAAATATCGGAAAAAATGCCTGAACATAATTTAAAGCAGTAATTGAATCAACAATAATAATGGCGTAAAGATGGGTTGTGTGAGAGAGTAATCTAAAACAATGTTGGCCAACAAAGATAATCATAGGGGTAACTCTTATTCTACTTTCAATATGTGCCTATATCAGACAAGAAATGTATTGATGTAGAGCAAATGGTGGAACTAAAAAATGTGATCAGTTCATTTAAGATAACACCATTACCATTACCGTTATTAAAGTCCACTGCTGAACACAGGCCACCCCCATAGAACACCTCACAGGGGGGACATTTGCCATAGTTCCCACACTTGGCGAGCAGGTTGGCAACCGCAGTGTTAAATTTTAATCATTATTAGGAAGACGCTCCTGCCCATCTCATGATTAGTTTCCTTCTATCGTCTCTCACAACACCCACGGAATGATACAAGGTAGTGGAAACTCTTAACACTGCCACTATATGGTTAGAATTATGTGTTAATACATATTTACAATATACAATTATATTTTACGTGGCCATGCCGCATCTATATTAGTAGTATAGTTGTAGCATGAACGGGAAAGACCACACTCTCACATAATATCAGCGTAAAATGGCTACTCAACTCTGCTCTGTTTTGTATGGTTAGAGTAGAGAACCGGAGACCCCTTTTACTGGAAACGAGGAATTCTATTTTAGTCTTTATGCATGACAATATATTTGCATTTTGATTTATCGAGGAACTATATATCTATAGATGTCTATGGGCCACGGCAACCACTTACCATCAGGTAGACTGTGTGCTCTTTATCACCCTTATCCTGTATAAAAAAAAGTTGCCAGCAATGTTTTAAGAAATAAATGAACTATTGAAACAAAAACACACTCCTTGTTGTATTCTATATACTATCTTACTTTTTGCCACATGCACATCCAAAACGTTTTCTAGGCTCATAGGTATGCTTTTGTTGGTGAGCTTCTAGTTCCTCTACACTTAAGAAAGTTGCTGGGCATTTGGTGCACGCTTGCTGTGGTAAATCAGAATGTACTATCTGAAAATTTGTGTAATATAAGATAGAATATAATAATATTAATATATATAAAAAGAAAATTTTATTATTTACTTATATACCTATATACCTTTTCATGACGTTTTAGCAAAATTAGACGTTTAAACTTTTTGTCACATGCAACACACTGGAATGGCATTTCATCCGAATGGCGCAGTTGATGGGTACCCAGATCATATTTAGTGAAGAATTTACTGAAAAAATCATTTCATTACTGTTTTAAATGACAGGAATTTGACAGAATTTGAATATTTATTTTAAATATTACTTACTCTTCACACTGGTCACATGGAAAAGTTCTCTCTCTATGTTTTTGCTTTTTATGTAATTCTAAAAGTTGCTGAAGGGGATAAGTACGTTCACATTCATTGCATGGCCAGCAACCATCTTCTAAGCCCCCCGATTCATTTTGCCTGAGCATTTTATCCTTGGACTCTATAATATTGCTATCTGAGCATATCACAGATTAAATGATGTGTATGCAATTTCGACTTACCAAAAAACATTTAAAAAATAATAAGAGAATAACATATATAATGAACTCATAATTTCAAAATAATACTGATGCATGCACTATTAGACATTTTCAGTTGTGATTATAAATGAGCGCTCAACTTCTACTTTGATATTTTAATTTCTTTTATTAATACTTCTTACAATTGCTTCAAATAAGTTTAAAAATTGAAAAAAAAAAAACATGCATTTGACATGCAAAAACATTTAAGAGTAATATATAAAATCTCAAGAATTCTTTACCATTATTTAGAACACAACTTTAAAAATGGTATAATACATACATAAATACTGAAATAATTACAAGAAGCTATGAACACACGCACATTTAATATAATATTCAATTTTAAATGAAATTGCAAATTATAACTATTAATAAAATCAAAATAATTATAAACTCAAACTCACCTTTGTTATCCTGTCTCAGGACATTTTTAGGACTATCTTGAATGTCTTTGCTGGTCACTACTTTTATGCAAGTTGAAACACCTTTAGACCCTTCATCAAAACCATCATCAATCTGTAAACAATGCAATGTTTGTTTAACATAACCATCAATTTTGAAAACTATTTGGAAACGTCAAACTCATGAATCCTTTTGGTCAATTAACTTTGCAACAAACAAGTTATTGATGTGTTCCTACCCTTAGGACTAATGGGGAATACCTTTTTTCCAGTAAAAAGGGGCTTTGGTTCTCTACACTCACCATACCGCTGTTTGTATTTGTACTGGTATTCTGTGAGAACATCGTCCTTCCCCGACCAAGCCAAAACATTTGTGCTACAATTATAGTATAGCTGCAGCATGCAGCAATATCATGGCTCGAATAATTACATTAATCCTGCCCACACGCAAAATACGCACTTAGATGTGGAGTTGCGGAAAACAGTTCATCGTAAACTAAACTAATATAGCTGCAGCATAGCTTTACCACATATAAAGCTACCTTCATAAATATTTCTGCTGCGGAGCAGCATATGCGGCAGGTGTTTCAGTATGAAGGATATGGAAAGCTTGTATAGTTACAGTCTGAGAGACATTTCATCTTAGTTCTCAGTGGTGACGGCACATGTGTAGCCTTCTGTTTACAAATGATTGCAGGTGTCAATAGGCTGTAGTAGCCACCTATATGCTGCTAGATCATTTATAACTTCAATTAAAAAAAGGTATGTAAATTTGTATTATATTTAAATTCGGATTATTAGTCAAGTTGTACCGTTACATTGAAAACATTTTCCTCCTCTTCATAATCACTGTCGGACACATCCTGTGTACTGACCTGCACTGTAGCACCTCCCTCAACTACAGTTTTTACTACCTCATGTTTTGCAGAATTTTGATATGCCTAAAATGATAACAATTGTTGATATAACAAGACATTGGCTGGTACATACTATAAATAAATCACAAATAATATTACTTGAATGAGAGCCGGAGGCCAAGGAACAGATTCCAAGGGTTTACCATTCTGAATGTATTCTAATATATTCTCATCAGATCGACGACAGATCTGCTTGTATTTATAAAAGAGATCCATAAAAAATCTGCAATGATTGCATATAAAAGAAGGCATTTTGTCTGAGGGGAAGACCTGAAAATAGCACGTTTTTATTATTTTTTATAATGAAGCAAATATATTTTCACCTATTAGTGTCTATACAAAGTGCTGTTTATGAATAAAAACAATTTTAGTACATAGATACTACAGCTACATAAACCAACAGGTAAACAAAAATAATCAATTCTAATTCGCTAGGTGGCGCTTTTGTAATTATGTGATAAAAACAGTAAATGGAGAATTTAATCCTATAAGACTATGCGTTACATTTCTTTTTATTATTTCAATTTGCTTTTATATTTTTCGTTTTATTATTTAAATAAATAAAATAAATGTTTAAGTAGGGTGCATAGCTTCTGTAAATATTTCTTTGTTTTATCAATATTGTCCGGTTCGGCGCCATTATGCCAAGCAAGTAGACAAGAACCGCTTTCTATTATAGGTGGCGTCCATTTAGTAAATATGTTAATAAGAGCAATTTAAACACATTAAAACTATAAAATATCCTTAAAATGAATAATTACCTCAATTGAAACGCATGATAAGATTTTTAAAGGAAGATCGACAGAATTCTTTGGTGTATTATGCCTGTCATAAAGACTCCCCAGCGCTGCATTTTGTGTCAAACAAAATCTACACAGTTTTAGTGCACTTAAAGATTCTTTTCTTTTATCCATTTTGAAAAAGTAAGAATTGAAAACACTTTAACTATATTTTTGCAACGACATAACCTCTACTCTACACTCGTTTGATGACAGATACGAAAGCAATATATAATGACACTAGCGCTACGCTTTACTTTGCGGAAGCGGTGCAAAAACTTACAGCGCTCCATGTGGACAAAAGCGGAATCTACGAAATACAAAAATTATTGGTACATACCTAAATTACACAGAATAATAAAACACTTGTTTTAATACTCCGTGGTATATTACGTAGGTACGTAACATAATTGATTAAAAACTCTTCTTTTATTTTATTTTATCATTTGAAACATTTAAGTGGACTATGCAGTATCACCTCAAGGCACAGAATAAATAATAGCTCAAGGCTATGGCGCAAGGCTACAATATCATCTAAATAATTTCTTCAATCTAAGGTTATTTAACAAAACTTCATTCACACTGTGCCCACCCATAGAAGTGGAATATTTTTTCTTTAAAAGTTGAGTTAACGCTTGAGATATTATAGCCTATTTACTCAAAAAGAATAATTTAAATTGGTACACACTTTAGAAAAAAAAAGTAATTTTCCATAATTTAAATTTATAAATTTTGTCGCATTCAATTCATTTTTTTAATTCCAGATGTTTCGGGTGTTTTAAAACACTCATTGTTATGGAGGGATTCTTCTAGTGACCAAGTGTGTAAGAAGCAGTTAAATTAAATGCAAATCCGTCACATTAGTTTTATGCAATAGACATTGTACCTATCTGTAGGTTTTTGCGCACGCACGCTATAATCCAGTCTTGCGTACCTAGATGGCTATTCTACGTTGAGACTGGATGATGTGACCGATATTAAGAATGTCCCTCACATTATGATATTAATTAAAGTTCATTAACTTGAATTAATATCACACAAATAGGTTTTGTCCATTGAGTTTAACTACTCACCAATGGATGTCACTATCATTAATTTATTTATACTGGGTAATTTTTTTGCGTTGCGACTGGATGATGTGACCGAAATTAAGAATGGGGGACATTATGATATTAATTAAAGTTCATTAACTTGAATTAATATCACACAAATAGATTTTGTCCATTGAGTTTAGCTACTCACCAATGGATGTCACTATCATGATATAATTTAATTATACTGGGTAATTTTTTTTATAGATGTATAGAAATATGGTGTAACAGGTAAACGCAATAGAAGCCTATGGCACTGATATTTTACCATTTTTTATTTTACATTAACATATGAAATTGATCTATCAATAAATACTATGAATTATAAATAAACTTTCGGTAATGAAAAGTAAAAACAAAATTTTTGATATAATAAGTAAATAAATCAATTACAAACTATCGAAATGAAAATAATACGTACCCAATTAGTAGTATGTATTTATTGTTATATCAATTTTATAATATGTTAAGGTAAAAGAATAAAAATTGTAAAATATCAGTTCCATAGGCTTCTATTCCGTTCCCCTGTTACACCATATTTCTATACAGTCGATAAAAAAATTACCCAGTATAAGATAGTATTGCAAAAAACAAACAATATTGCTACTTGCTTAAGTTGTTGCAACACTAATGGATTATTGTTTACTTTAATCTACGTGTTCGTTCAGTCTATTTTTAAATGAAAAATAGTGGGACTTAATTTATTTTATTGCTGTTCAAATAGGTACTTCTACTTCATCTTCTTCAAGAGCATGAACTTAGAACAGTTCGCAGGAAGACTTCGCTGAATTTATGATCACGCCAGAATATTTAGTTTACTAAATCGATATTTTGTCTTTTGCCGGGTGGTTGTTTTCAGATAGTTCTCTCCCTATGAAATTTCTCTTTTATTTTCATTGTTCTTGTCATAGATAGTATAGGTAGGTACTATTTATTGGTTCTTGACAAACAAGAAAAGCGAAGGAAAATGTGTGATTTGTTCAATATCGAATTTCTGGCACGCATATGCATAGTGAAATGAATTATTTTTATTTTCCTATGCATAGTTTTTGTTATTTATCACAAATTTTGTATACAAAACTTCTCACTGTTTTTTTTAAAATAAATATGTGGGTATAAAGCAAACTTTTTACTATGCTTATTAATGGGGTCCCTAGTTTGTTGCTAAGAATAGATAACAATCTTCCAATTTATACAGGTATTTATCAACTGTTATATTTCGCCGTGTGGTGGTGTGGCATTTAAAAAAAATCTATGACCCCACCATGTCCGACACACTTCTCAAGCGGAGGGTGCACTTTTTCAAGATCTGGAATATAAAATATGATATGGCCTCCGATAGGCGACGGTTTAATTATCTTATATCCGTTTGTAATGATGTAAGATATATAAAGCAGATAAACATATTATAGATATAAATATTAAAAGCATTTT